ACAGGAGAGTCTCGTGAGACAGGAGGCGACACGAACAGGGGGCAAACTCAGGGCCAGACCGGGACGCAGCAGCAAACACCTGACCTGACGCAGCTACCTGACCAGACGCAGGGACAGGAGGAGACTCAGTGGTCAGGGTGTAGAGGCTCGACCCCGGCCGACGCGAGAACGTGGCCAGGTGCCGGCCTGTGCGTGCGTCCGTGCAGTGGGTCACCCGCCGACTCGCAGGAGTGAACTGGTGAACCCCCGCATCCTGTAGGTCCGCACCACTGACCAAGTTCGTCGAGAACGAGGGAAGGTACAGACCAGACAGGGTACCCGAGGGGGCAGCCGGACACGGGAGGACAGTGGAAAAGTGAGAGAGGACAGGACCCCCAGAGGGGTCAGCCAGGGAGACCGCAACCCGCCGACCAAGCGGCGTGAGGGTGGTGCGGTCTCGAAAGAAGGAGCGAGAATCCCCTGAGTCAAGTGTGAAAGTGAGGGAGGACGAAGGCGACGCAGTACCTGAGAGCGCAGTCTCACCAGTACCTGAGAGCGCAAACGCACTGGCACCTAGAGCAGCAGCCTTACAAGCACCTAGCGCAGCAGTACCAATGCCCGGGTCGGGCGGGAAACACCGGTAACAGTCACCCTCCTCACTAATAGTTACAGCATACATAGCAGCAAGGATAGCATCAAAGTCAAGATCAAGGCTCGCTACACCAGCCCTAGAAAGCTCATCCCAGCGGGGAAGCTCACTAGCCTCGGGGAACTGCTGACGCCAAGCGTCCGTCAGGCGGCCAAAGTAGCGCTGGGTGGAGTGGGCACCCCCACACTGCTCACCCGCGCGGTCGCTGGAACGAAGGACGTAGGTGCACGGACCAGCACCCCCACCCCTCTGACGCCGAGTGTACCACTCACGGAGCTGCTGGGGCGGAGGGATGTCCCGTGAACGCTGCTGCTGCTGCTGCTGCTGGCGCTGACCACTACCAGCGCCGCTCCGCTGCGGGGCACCACTCCGACCAGCTCCACCTCCTCCGCCAACACCTCCTCCTCCACCGCCTCCACCGCCGCCACCACTCCCACCGCTGCCGCCACCACCGCCGCTGCCTCCGCCGCTGCCACCACCACTACCACCGCCTCCGCCACCACTCCCGCCGCCACCCCCACTCCCCCCGCCGCCTCCACCGCCACCTCCACCGCCCCCTCCAGCTCCACCCGCGCCCTTGCCCCCCTTGCCCTTGCCAGAGCGGCGTCTCCCACTAGGGGCAGACGCCGCGCCGACCGACTCAAGACCAAGCAGGTCGGCAGCAGCAGCAGAGGCAATAGAGGGCAGCAGGGGGGAAGGAGAGCACCCCTCAAAGATGGGGGTGCCAGGGTCACCACGAGAAGCGCCTACAGCGACGATGCTCTTCTCCGCCGCTAGGAGGGCCTTCTCGAGGAGGTCGACAGTGAGGGTGGTGGGACAGACTGAGAGAAAGTGGTCCCTGACTACGCGAAGGGAGTCAGGGAGGCGTGTTACTACGTAGTAGAGAGTGATGTACATGGGGGGGGGGTTCTTGGCGCAGAACTCAGCAGGAAGGGTGGCGCGGTAGCGAGTGTCACTAGTGCGGAGGTGCGTAATGAGGTCAGCGACAGTGGGAAAGGCAGTGAGGTCAGGAAAGAGGTACGGTAGCATGAGACGGCTCAGTGCAGCAGTGGCAGGGGAAGAGTAGCGTGCAACTACAGCGTCGTACAGGGTCTGAGCACTCTTGTACTGACTAAAGTGCGCGCGCTCAGTGGTGGGCAAGTGGCGACGTACAGCAAGACGTGCAGTAGCATCGCGGGTGGCCCACTGAGAGCGAACAGTGGGGTCAGCATCAGCAGCAGGAGCAGGAGAGGCGCCAGAGGTGAGGTCAAAAAGAGAAAGACCGTCTGCCCTATCGCACTGCAAAAACATCTGCAGGTCGTCGACCCAGACCTCAAAGTCGATGGCTCTGCCCTCAGCGTCAAAAGCTAGGACACTGGGGGTAGCCATGACGACAGACTAGCAGTGCAAGCAGTGGGGAAAGGGCAAGCGGTAGCAGTGCTGTGCTCACCAGGCAGGGCAGGTCGGGCGACTCGACGGCTGCAGGACGGCACGGCCGCTGCGGGGCGGCTCGGCTGCGACTGGGCGGCTCGGCGGCTCCTGGGCGGCTCGGCTGCTGCTGGGCGGCTCGGCTGCTGCTGGGCGGCTCGGCTGCTGCTGGGCGGCTCGGCTGCTGCTGGGCGGCTCGGCTCCCGGGCGGCTCGGGTGCAGGGCGGCTCGGGCGGGGCGGCTCGGCTGCTCCGGTACCGGGTGGCGGGGCCGTGAGTGCAGGGGCGATGGGGCCGTGAGTAGGGGCGGCGGTGTCGCGGTAGTAGGGGTGGCGGGGCCGTAAGCGCTGGGGCGGCGGGGCCACGAGATCAGGGGCGGCGGGGCCGAGAGCGCTGGGGCGGCGGGGCCGCGAGATCAGGGGCAGCGGGGCCGTGAGTGCTGGGGCGGCGGGGCCGCGAGATCAGGGGCGGCGAGGGCCGCGAGATCTGGGGCGGCGAGGGCCGCGAGAGAAGGGGCGCCGAGTGCCGCGAGATCAGGGCGGCGGGGCCGCTGAAGTAGGGGCGGCGGGGCCGCGAGAGAAGAGGCCGCGGGGCCGTGAAGGGGCGGCGGGGCCGCGACGGAGAGGCGGGGCCGCGACGGAGTGGCGGGTCCGCGAGGAAGAGGCGGCGGGGCCACAACTGGGTGGCGGGGCCGCGACGGGGCGGCGGAGCCGCGACGTAGTGGCGGGGCCGCGACTGGATGGCGGGGCCGCGACTGGACGGCGGGGCCGCGAAGGAGAGGCGGGGCCGCTCAAAGGGTGGGCGGGGCCGCTAGGAAGGGCGGCGGGGCCGGGTCTGAAGGGCGGTGGGGCCGCGAGAAGGGCAGCGGGGCCGCGAGGGAAAGGGCGACTCGGGGGGTCGCTAAAAAAAAGGAGATCGCGCGCCTCGGGGCGCGCTTCGGTGGGCCCTAGGCGAAGTTCCCATAGGGAACCCGCTCTGATGCCATGTGAAAGTAATGAACAGGAATGAATGACTAAGGAAAGATTGGGGTACAAATACAACCCTAGAAACCTGTACCCCATATGTGCTACCCCACTATAGCCTACAGCAACTATGTCATATAAATCTGACAATTGGTTCGTACACTCTGCTGGGGCGAGCATGACACATTCCTATGCGAAAGTGACGTGTCCTTGCTCTTGTGCGCCGGCAGAGAATCGCCCTCGCGCGATTCTTATTCTGAACGCTCCACACATTTAGATTTGAATGAAATTGCGAGACTCTAATGCACACTTTGGTGCGTTTATAACATATTTCTGTGTTTGTTATTATATAAGCGCATGCGCTTATAATTTTGGCTCATTTATAAGCGCGCCCCCTTAAAAAACACTGATTTATCTGGGGTATTACGGTATAATAATGATACAGGATTATTCAACAACACGTGTCGAGATAACATTCTACAGATTCTGACAAAAGCAGCATACGATGAAGCGCTGTGTGCGGTCCAACTGTGGTTGCCGGAACTCCATATGCCATTCCCAACGCTGTACCATTTCTTGTTTAGTTTCGGTTTCTGCCCGACTTTATTCAGGAGCTCATCTGTCGTCGCCGGCGTGTTGGGGAATCAGATCACGCTGTCCCATTTCTGCTACCGCCCTAACATTATAGCCCTCCGGCTGTAATCATCACTTCCCCATCCCCGCCCAGCCTTTGCGCATCGAGCCGAGGAAAGCCTCTGCCGTGAATTGCCCGGGGTTAACAATCGTCTGCGGCGACACCCAGCTGGCACGTGGCAGCGGAGAACCGAGTACAACGTCAGGCCCTCAAACACCCCCCACCCCCCTGCCCCCCCCCCCCCCCCCCCCCCCCCCACCCCTCCCCCCCCCAGTCCACCACTGACACCCAGCTGGCACGCGGCAGTGAGCGAAGAGACAAATACTAGGTCAGGCCCCCATTCCCGCCCAGCCTTTGCGCGTCCATCCGAGGAAAGCCTCGGCCGTGAAAAGCCCGAGGTTAAGAATCCTTTGCGGCGACACCCATCAGGCACGTAGCAACGAAGAAACAACGTTAAGCCCCCATGCCCGCCCAGCCTTTGCTCGTCCATCTGAGGAAAGCCTCATCCGTGAAAAGCCCGGGGTCAACAATCCTTTGCGGCGACACCCAACTGGCACGTAGCAGCGAAGAAACAAAGTTAAGCCCCCATGCCCGCCCAGCCTTTGTTCGTCCATCCGAGGAAAGCCTCGGCCGTGAATCGCCCGGGGTTAACAATCCTCTGCGGCGACACCCAGCTGGCACGCGGTGACTTTTGAGTCAAATCAAAACACACCCAGCTGGCACGCAGCAGTGAAGAGACAAGTACAACGTCAGGTCCCTGTTCCCCCCTCACCCCCCCCCAGCCCACCACTTTCCGCTGTTGCCAACATCAGACCCCCATCCCCGCCCAGCCTTTGCGCGTCCAGCCGAGGAAAGCCTCGGCCATGAATCGTCCGAGGTTAACAATCCTCTGCGGCGACACCCAGCTGGCACGCGGCATGCGCGCCTCAAATGCAACACCAACCAACACGTTAAGCTAGGCCCCCATGCCCGCCCAGCCTTTGCTCGTCCATCCCAGGAATTTCTCTACCGTGAACCTCCTGGGGTTAACAATCCTCTACGGTGACACCCAGCTGGCACGCGGCAGTGAGTGAAGAGACAAGTACTAGGTCAGGCCCCCATCCCTGCCAAGCCTTTCCGCATCCATCCTAGGAAAGCCTCGGCCGTGAATCGCCCGGGGTTAACAATTCTCTGCGGCGATACCCAGCTGGCGCGCAGCATGCGCACCTCAAAAGCAACACCAACCAACACGTTAAGCTAGGCCCCCATGCCCGCCCAGCCTTTGCTTGTCCATCCCAGGAATTTCTCTGCTGTGAACCTCCCGGGGTTAACAATCCTCTGCGGCGACACCCAGCTGGCACGCGACAGTGAGTGAAGAGACAAGTACTAGGTCAAGCCCCCATCCCCGCCCAGCCTTTGCGCGTCCATCCCAGGAAAGCCTCGGCCGTGAATCGCCTCGGGTTAACAATCCTCTGCGGCGACACCCAGCTGGCGCGCGGCATGCGCGCTCCGGGCCCCGTGCTCTGGAACTCGGCGAAATAGACGCCGCTCTTCCGGGCGAGCCTCATGGTGTCCGTGTCCCACGTCATCCACCCGTCCGGCTGGATCTCCTGGGAGGGGGGAAAGGGGGGGAGGGAAGAGAGGGGATGGGGAGATGAGGTGGGAGAGTGGTGGAAAGAGCTAATGAGTTGGAGTAAGAAGCTTCATGATCGTCATCCACCCATTCGGTTAGATTTCCTGACAGGGAGGGAAGGAGGGAGAGCAGGGGGGAAGAGCAAGGGGAGGGAACGGAGGGGGGGGGAGGGGAGCAGGGGGGAACGGTTTGGGGGGGGGGGGAGCATGAGGGATTGAAGCTTCAGGTGTACAGCGTGTAGCTTTCAGTTAGATTTCCTGGCAAGGGGGAAGGGAAGGAGGGAGAGGAAAGTGTGGGAGTGGGGAACCATGAGGTGGAGGTGGTGGTAAAGGAAATGGCTCAGACAAAACTTGTATCCCTCGACCGCGGCCCAAGCGTGCTTCACCTTGGGAAGGAAGCAGTTGATGAAAACGGCCTTGCTAGTGTTGGTCCACGGCCAACCCAGGTAAGCCTTCCCCACCCCCGCATCGGCACTGATCATTGCATTCCTGATAATGATCCCCTTGGGTTCCGGGTATGTGGGGTCGTTCTAAGGCGCCGTGATGATCACCGGATCGTCCTTATGAAGCCTGATTTGCGGGCAGTCAAACACGGCCGCTCCTTTCCCGAAGATGAAATCCACAGTGCCGCCCACTTTGCAGTCACGCAAATATTGCCGCCCGCTATGAGGGTAGAGCGTGTCCTGGTTGCTGTCAAACTCGCACTCGAAACACGCGGAAAGGTCTTCGGAGCATAGAGCCATTGCTTGCTGGCCCGCTGTCCTGGCCGTGTTGCGCACTGTCCGAGGGCCGTAAACATGCCTTTGTTGGCGCCTGGTGGTGGGGGAACGGGAAAGAGAGAGAGAGAGAGAGAGAGAGAGAGAGAGAGAGAGAGAGAGAGAGAGAGAGAGAGAGAGAGAGAGAGACGGAGAGGGAGATGGGGAGGAGGGAAGGTGGCGGGGTGAGGGTGAGAGGGGGTACTATGCTGTGAGGGTACAACGTGTCCTGGTTGCCGTCAAACTCGCACTTGAAGAAGGCTGAGAGGTCTTTGGAGTGCAGCGCCACTGCTTGCTGGCCCACTGTCCCGGCCGTGTTGCACACGGTGATTCCGAGGGCCGTAAAGATGCCCTTGTTGGCACCTGGGAGGGGGGAGAGAGGAGGGAGCGCAGAGTTACTGCCTGCGGGCCCGCTGTCCCGGCAGTGTGGCGGACTGTGATGCCCAGGGTGGTAAGCATGTTGTTGTTGGTACCTGGGGTAGATACACAAGCAAGAAAGGAGGGAGATGGCGGGAGAGGGATAGGGGAGGAGAGAGTAGAGAGAAGGGGAGTCAGGTAGCCATAGCGATGGAAAGAGAAGGAGGCAGGATTTGAAATTGACGAATGAGCTGTAAGGGGAGAGAGGAGGGATAGAGCGCGAAGTAGGAGAAGAGGTTGCGAGAGAGGGAAAGGAGGGAGAGAGGAAAAGGAGAGGAGTGGAGAGGGAGATTGCTTGCCAATGATAGCGGAGTTGAAGGTGGTGGATTTTCCAACCATACTCTTCTTGCCAGTGATGACAGGAGAAGAGAAGGAGAAAGGGAGAGAAGCTGAGAGAGGGAAAGAAGATGAGAGAGGGAGAGAAGTTGAGAGAGGTAGAGAAGCTAAGAGAGGGAGAGAAGCTGAGAGAGGGAGAGAAGCTGAGAGAAGGAGAGGAGCTAAGAGAGGGAGAGAAGCTGAGAGAGGGAGAGACCAATGGTAGCAGAGTTGAAGGTGGTGGATCCGCCGACCACATTCTTTTTGTTAGTGATGATAGTCCTGCCCGTTCCTCTCCCACCAAAACAATCCCACCAGATTGGGAGAGAGGAAGAGAGATGGAAGGGGAGTGCTCAATGGTAGAAGAGTTGAAGGTGGTGGATCCGCCAACCACATTTTTGTTGTTAGTGATGATAGTCCTGCCCATTCCCTCTCCCACCGGAACAATCCCTAGTTTGTCAAATAGAATCTGCTCCACGTACACTCCTTTCTTGACGAATATAACGAACGTGCCTTTCATAGGTGCGGAAGCAATTACCGCCTCCGAAAAGAAGGGAGAGTAGAAAGGGAGAAGAGATGAATACTCATGAGACGCAGGAGATGGGTAAAGTATTTAGTCGTCGCTCCTTTCTTGATAAATATAACGAAAGTGCCCTCCATGGGTGCGAAAGCAATCGCAGGCTGCGCTCAAACAACGAGGAAGAAAAATGCAACTGTCTCAAGTCACAAAAAGCTGATGTCTAAGATTTTTCCGAGCAGGCAATCGGGGAATCCAAAAACGATAATATTAGCCTCCTGTGCAATCTTTCCCTTTCATCCCTCGCAACCCACTGTGTCCATCCTCTCAGAGGCTCTTGCCTTGAGCGTCTTGTGCGTGCCTGAACCGTCCTTTGCAACGATCGCATTTATCCGGGGCGGCTGTTACGAACAAGAAGTAGAAAGTAAGAATGAAGAAAGGAGGGGTTTCACTAGCAGCAGTTGGGATACATATAGCAAACCCTAACTGGGTTGTGCTTGCTATAGAGCACCCCACTGCACGCTAGATAACATAACATTTTGACACACCCCCATAGCCAAAGTGGGGTGTAATCAGCACAGTAAGCAAAGCAGAACAAGCTCAGGGTGGATCACAATGTCACCACACATTCTGAGCACAATTACAAGAAGCAATAGTTTAAAGCTCACAATTATGAGCAAAGCTAGTGGTAGTCACAACGGGCAAGTGAGGAGGAGGAGGGACTGTGAGAGGAGAGGAGATGGGAGACAACGGCTGAAGTTGTAGACACACAGGCAATAGGAGCTGTTGGCACAGTGGCTACCGAGACAGCGCCCCGGACTACTGGAGTAACTGGCTCACGTGCTACGAGGAGCTACAGGAGCAACGGACCCACGGACGACAGGCGTAGTAGACACTCTGGGCTACCAGGACAGTGCGCCCTGGACTACAGGTGCTGCGGACGACAAGACAGCAGCCTCCACTCAACCTTCCCAAGCAGTCCCACACCCCCCTACACACACCCCTAGTTTTACCCCTAGCTCCACTCCCACATCACCCCCATAGTTCCACTCCTCACGGCTCCCACACACACACCCCCCTGAGCGGCAGCTGCAGCAGCGGGAGACGGAGGAGGAGGAGGAGTAGGGGACGGCGCACACAACGGGCACCCCCACAACCGCCACCCCCACACTCCTCAGCCCAAAACCCTAAAACAGGTTGCAAGGGGCAGGAGCGCGGGGGGACAGCGGAGGGGACGGCGCGCAGCCCCCAGGGCGCCACCACGGGGCAGCACGGGGCCGCGTGCGGCTCCCCATGGCGGCGCGACGGGGCAGCGGGGGGTCGTGCGTGACTCCCCAGGGCGTCGCGCCGGACGGGCGGGGGCAGCGCGCGGCTCCCCACGGTGCCGCGACGGACGGGCGGGGGGCCGCGCGCAACTCCTCAGGGCCCCGCGACGGACGGGCGGGGGCAGCGCGCGGCTCGCCAGGGGGCGCCAGGAAGAAGAAAGGGCCACGCGCCCCCCCGGGCGCGCGCCTCAGAGGAAAACCGCCGCGCGCAGCAGACGCGCGGCAGAAAGAAAGGGTAGCACGCTCGGGGCGCGCCACACCAGTAGAGCAGCAGAAGCTTTAGGTGGTGGGCCCACCCACAGGATCGACCCAAAGGGATCGACCTGCTCTGATAGCATGTCAGAACTAACAGTAGAAAGTAAGAATGAAGAAAGGAGGGGTTTCACTAGCAGCAGTTGGGATACATATAGCAAACCCTAACTGGGTTGTGCTCGCTATAGAGCACCCCACTGCAGGCTAGATAACATAACATTCTGACAGCGGCAACAGGCTGTTGTATACGCCGTTGAAGCTGCTCGTATCCAAAATCCCTCCCACTTTTACGTCGCCGATTTTGCTCAGCTTTTCGTTGCTGCTACTTTGAAGCCCCCTCCAAAGTGTGTTGCCAGATTCGTGCGAATCACCCGCGTCCCCGCTATAAGCAAAATGAGCGCCCTTGTCCGTTAAGCGGCGTCGGATAGAGTCACTCTGCGCCGCTGTGCCTGCTGCCTTTGCTCCCCCCGCGTCGTTGCCTGTCTCTGCGCCATCCAAGCCAAGGAGTCTCCGTGCGCCCGGCACGTCCCCCGCGTCCCCTCCGCGCATGTGCGCTGCCTGGATGCACTTCAGGTGCTCGAATATCCCCGGAGTTACCCACCCAGGCACGCCGCTGTCGTTCCATTGGTGTGTTTTTGCTACTCTCCGGCGGCAAGGGGGGGAATCGTAGTTGTACTCGTAAGCGTCAGCGGAATCATCATCGGCGGAAGAAATTCCGCCTGCTCAGGTGGAGATCTTATCGGCGATTGCGCACAGGACGCACGCGTGGGCTGCGGTAACCGTGACTGTAATGAGCGTAACTTTCGACCGAAGACGAATCCCCGGCGCCGTTTCCAGCGCATCCGGCGCAAATTCTTGCAGCCCCTCGACACAGCTATCGATGTTCGCCCGAGCTGACATCAAGAGGTATGGCAGGTGGTCAACCGAAGCCGTCCGATCGGCCGGAAATATCGGACGGCCGTCAGAATGCCGACTTTCCCGAGTGGCTTGTGAGCCGTTGATTGAGGCGGTAACGGCGTTCAGCGAGTTTTCAAGATTATCGAGTGCCATGGATATCTACCCGGGTGAGCAAGGCAGGGAGGGAGGGGTGGTGGAGGGATCCAGGGAGGGAGGGATTCATAAATCAAGCAGTTTGACATATCGTTGAACGAGAGGAGCATATGCTTGGAATCTTGTTCACATCGAGCAGATAAGCTAGAATCCTTTAACCGCAAGATGAAAGTTTCGTTTACCTTGTGAACGCAGTCAAACGCTGTCGCGTGCGTCAGCAAACTTTCATCCGTGTTTTCCGCCTTTAGCTGCGCCACGTGTTACATCGTCGCCTGCGCGCGCTCCATTGCGCGCCGAATGAGCGCCCTGCTGATGCTGCGAGGAGTTGGTGGAGCGGAATCCGCACGCAGAGAACGCCTCGCGGAGAGGACTTCCACGGAGCACAGGGCCGAGTGCTTTGGCAGGAGAGCGCATGCGTTGGGCAGCAAAAGATCCTCGTTGAGAATACAGACAGTAGCTTGACCGAGGAGAGCAATTGCGAATGCTACTATGAGAAGGACAAAACTGTACATCAACAAATTCATGAAGGGAATTCTCATTTCTCGTGAAGGCTCGCCTCAGCTCTCCCAGTCGCACGCCCTGATTTGATCCCTCCAGATGAATCGAGCAGCAGGAGGTTATTCCACGAGCGCAAGAGCTAGGGAATCAAGAAGTATTGAGAGGAAATAGCACGAATTCAGCTGTTCGTTCCAGCATATTCATCGTGAATAAAGGGCTCAAATTATGCACACCTCACGCACGGAACCAGGTGAGTGAGGGGTGGATTATTTGTGCGGTACGATAAGTGGATTATACATTTGAGACAGATGTCGACGTCTTAAAAGCTGGGCATGAGTGAAGTTGACTATCGAGAGAATTGGTACAAGGACAAAACTCTAAGGAGGTATACCCGAAAGTATCTACCCCACTACAGCCTACCCACAAATATAACATATGCATATGTTTGACACACCCCCATAGGCAAAGTGGGGGAGAGCAAGAGGTCACAAGACCAGTTAAGAAAGCAAAGCAAGCTCAGGGTGGAGCACAAAGTCACCACACACACTGAGCACAAGCGAAAGACAATAAGGCCAGTTCACATGCAAAGATATATATGCAGCAAGAACAGTACAGTGATCTCTACCTAGCAAGAGCAAGCATGCAGGTATATAAATAAATATATATATGTATATATATATATATCACAGTACAAACAGTGTCTACAGCAAGTGTGGAAACGTAGGCACAAGGCCCAACAAAGTACAAAAGCGCTGATGATCACCAGACGGAAGTGCCTTGGTGAATATATCAGCACTGTTGGCCCGACTGGCCACGTGAGCGAGACAAAGCTGACCCCACTGCTGCAACTCTCGAGCCAGGAAGTAACGCAGAGCGATGTGCTTCGTTCTTTGCTCCTCACACAAGGCAATGGCTGCCTTGCTGTCGACGTACAGAACTGGAGGAGAACGAGGCCTCTCTCCCAAGTCGGTCAGCAGGTAGGTGTGCCAGCGTAACTCCTGTGCAGCCATGGCTGTGGCGTAGATCTCAGCCTCACAACTAGAGCCGAGAACAGAAGACGAGTGAGTAGACCGCCAAGAAATAGAGCCAGAGCCAAGACTGAAGGTCTAACCCTGTGACGACCGCTACGTAGACTGGTCGTCAACCTAAGAAGCGTCCAAGTGCCTAGTGAAGACAACGTCGCCCCGTCCTCCAAGCACGAGCCCCATGCCTGATGTACTACACAAGTAGCGTAGTACCCTCTTAGCAGCATCCATGTGCACCTTTCGGTGCCAACCATGAGCCACGTAGCGAGCCAGAAGCCTAAGAGGGTACGCAAGGTCACGATGAGTACATGTCATCACGTACATGAGGCAGCCAACTAGCTCTAGGGAAGGACCACT